CTCACCCTTTCGGTATGAAACGGTATAGGATTAGACGGTATAGAATGAATATAGAGACAATCGTGCTGATAACATATTATAAACTATTATAGTAAAAGAAAAAGAAAATATTATATATATATATCTCTATGTGTGTGTTTAGCTAGTGAGGAAAGTATTATATATATATGTGTTTGTGTATAGAGGAAGGTACTCGCGAGAGAGGTGAGAGATTAGGGAGTGATCATCCTCTTATTGATAATATACAAATATATATATAGGCAGCATAAATTATTAAACTAATCTTGTGAACCGACTTAGTATGTCGACTAAACAATTATTTATTATAAATATTAAGGGATATTTATCCTATAAAAAGATATTTATCCTATTATAATAGTAGTTAATTTGTTTGTTTTTGTTTTCGCTTCCTTCAATTCTTTTTTTTTTCTTCCTTCGATTATATATATATATATATATAAATTATGTTATATAAAATACATAACACGTAAGTTATCACTTTATACATATTGATATGCTTTAAGTATTTATGCATATTGTATTATTTTTTATTTGTATAAAATACTATTATATATATTTTTATTTAGTTAAATATATATTCATATACATTTTGATATAAATATCATTTATTTTATTTTACAAATTTTATATGACAAATATTTTTTCTACAGCACACAATTAATACTTACCAATAATACTTTCATTTTAAAATAGTTACAGCCAAATTCTTACAACTACAACAAAAACGTTTACAGACTAAACAACGAATAAATTGCAGTTACAGTACAACCAATCATCCACTTAATCTCATTATGGTTTTTCAGAACCATTGACTCCAGATCTCTTCCCATATTTCTTTTTTCTCACTATACTTTCATTATGGTTGTTTCTTGATTAGAACTCCTATAAATTTTTTGTTTCTTTTTTTCTGATTCACCATAAATTTCATTTCCACAAACATTCCCGTAGACCATTCACTGCTCGGCCTGGAGTCACATTTTCTCTCTTTTATTGTTTTCCAATTTCTGTTTCTTTGCTTTCGTCGTCCTGTGAAAAAAAAAACAACTCAAAATAAATAAATTATCAATTTGAATTATGGGAAAATTGGAAATAAACAACTAAATTTTAGTTTGTCCATCTATACTTTTATTTAAAATTTTACATTTATGCCTAAACTATCTTTTTTAATTAAAAAAAATTAATTTTTTTCAATTTTTTTTTTTGTGAAAAATGTGAAGAACAAAAGAATAAGATTTTCTTTGAGAGGGGCAATTGTTGTTTGTTAAGCGATAGATTTATAGAATGTGTTCTACTTTATTCAGAAGAAACTTTCTGC